GGAAAACCTTTGTATTTGTTGTCACTTCACCTTTTACTCATCTACCCACATTAGAAGCAGTAGAAACCATCAGGAAATGAGTTCAGCAAGACAATGACCTRAACAGTAGGACCAATTTCATCCCAGACAAGAGCTGTATCTTGCTGGAGCCCTTTCCACCACTTATTTAAATGCAATGACAAAAAACAAAGCTCTGTGATGGGGTTGCCAGTCACACCTCTTGTGACAAATCTGCAAACGGAGGAAGTGGAAGAGAGACCCCTGAACTTCCTTTGAACTAACAAGACCAAGCCCCTGGTTCAGGTATATGGATGGAACCTGGGTCAAAATTAAAGCTAAAGAAATGTAAGTATTCACCAGACATCAGTTCTGTTGATAACATCAAGTTCACTACAGAGGATGCTAATGACAAGAGGTATTTCCTGGACTGTTTGGTGGACATAGAAAGACATGGAAGCTTACACTGAGGCTTACAGGAAACCAAACTGCACAAATCAATACCTTCTGTTTGACACTCACCACCCACTGGAACACAAATTTTATGTCATTAGAACTCTGCATGTCCCAGAAAAAAAGGAAAAGAATCACAACAAAACTATAAATGTGGCTATCCTAACTTGGCTTTTGTCAAGTCATCAAGGAAATGTAATGCAGCATGGCATCATTTTTATATTTCTCACTCTTTACACTATTAGGGATAAGTGGAGGTTGACAGCACTGGGGTTGAAACCCTGAACTACCATTCATACAATACAAGCCTCTGATATCACCCAGATTAACAAGGTACAGTATGTTTCAGATGTTGGGGAACCAGAGAACTTAACACTATTGGTTTGCTAACATGTGAACAAGTAGAAAAAAGGGCAYGAGAAAGATGTGAAAACATCCATATTSATGCAGAAACAACTTGGGACCCAGTGGTCCCAATAGAGAGCATTGTACCCCATGGAGAAGGTGACTATGTAGCAAACCCAAGTGACTGTAACATCAGAAAGAAGAAGCACAAGAAGCTACCTACCAAGGGGTAAAAGAGAGAATAGAGAAGTTGTGGAGTCAAGGCCTCAGTGATGCCATTGGTCATCTAAACACAGTGCTGTAACCCCAAACTGCTAGAGTGGGTTGAGCAGATAACCTCAGTAATGTCTGTCCGGAAGAGCACAATCTGAGAATCAATGAARGTACTGTACAGAACCAAGCTCTCAGGTCTTTTCAGGATTCAGGCTTTYAAGGGATCCATGATTAGTTGTAACATTAGATTTTATTTGCTAAACATATATTTTAATTGTAAAATAAAAACTGCAGAATTACTGTAGGCTGTTTAGTTTTTATAATTTTAAAACAAAATTTCTCAAAATATATTACATCCTGAGCCATTTTGTTTACACGCAAAGCATACTGGGTAAATGATGACGTCGATGAGGTCATCGGTGCGAGGCTGCGAGCTATATCCACCCTGAAGGTTAATCTTGGACAATATCTGATGATCGACTCTTTTAAATGAA